AAAATGATAAATAAATTATGGCATACTCAAACAGTCGAGTACTGTACAGCAATCAAAAAGCAAACCAGAGTGACATGTTTACAAAGAATTTACATAGCAAAGAAAATGAACAAATTTGAGCTAAATAGATAATATTCACAGATGTGAGAGGAATTACTAATATCGAAAAAACATTCAATTTAAGTCAATTTATATGAAGTTTTCAAAAATATATTTTTAATACATTGTAATTTATTACATGTGTGGTAAAACTCTAAAATGAAATGTATGAGTGATTATCATAACAATTGGAATAGTTGGAAGGAAGAAAACTAAAGGGAAATGATATCAACAAGAAGGTATATATGGGGAGTGTCTGGATTTTTGGCAAATTTTATTTTTTGGCCAAGGTGTGGTAAACATGGGAGATACATTTGTAATTGTTTTCTCTAACTGTGCATTTAGGTTTTATTACTTTCCATAACTGTGTTATGTTCCACAATAGTAAAAATATTTAAAAATCAGAAAATAAAGTAAAATAATAAATAAAAAATTAAGCCGAAACTACATATGTGCATAGATACAATGGTATTATAATTATTGTGGTTTTCCTTAACAAAGAAGAATAGTGCATTGCAGCAGTAAGAAATACAAGCTAAAATTATAAGCTTTTCTTTAAATTAACTTTAAAAAGAAAATACGTGCTAGAAGTGTGAATTTAAATTCTTAATGCTAATCTTGGGCAGAGCCTTCAGGAGCAAGTGAAACGGTCTATGCCATTGCCTCCACAGTGGAACTGCTCTTGCCACTCTTGGACTAATGAAGGAGCAATGGTCTTAAGTGCCTTATTCATACTTCCAACAAGATGTAGTCAACCCAATGAGAGAAGCCCACTTAGACTCCCATGGGTCCCACAACTCCCACACCTCCCAATGCTGGTCATCAGACAGGGAACCCCTGACTCGGGCCCACAGCACAAACCCTCCATCTTGGACTGACTGCACTGAGCGATTGCTGACCTGCATCTCTCTGGGATGGAGCCCCCAAGGGTTGACTCTTGGACACAACCACTACTAAGATCTCTTCCAGTGCTGCCTCTAAGCTGGGAAAGGAGCATAAACACTGAGATTGCACCAGAACTGCAGTTGGCTGCTCAGGAATGCTAAGTTTTGAACTGTAGCCAGGACTGAAGGGCACAAGGAACCTACATCTTCAGAGCACTGAGAGGGAACATGGCTGCAACTGTGAGGAAACATAGGGGAACCACATAATTGAGCAAGAGTCTATCGACTGACCAATAAGCTGAAGTGTCACCTGCTGGATTACACCCCAAAGCTTCAACACCAAAAATGCCTCACTAACATAACACCCTCTGAAACCAGAGACACAGAGTCAGCTTCAGATAGACACCCTACACAATGCCTCTCCCTGGCAAAAACATCCAGAAAGGAAGTCTATTTACTGTACTCAGTATACACTGCAGTTAAAGAAACACCCACATACAGAGAAGAGAAAGAACCATTGCAGTCATTCTGGTAACTCAAATGGCCAGAATATCATATTTCCTCCAAAAGACTGTACCAGTTCTCCAACAAGAGTTCTTAACAAGGCTGAACTGGCTGGAATGACAGAAATAGAATTCAGAATATGACAGAAACGAAGATGATCGAGATTCAGGAGGAAGACAAATCCCAATCCAAGGCAAATAAGAATCACAGTAATGTGATACAGCAGCTGAAGGATGAAAGAGCCAGTATAAAAAAATTTAATGGGTCTGACAGAGCTGAATAATACAAGAATTACTCAATGCAACAGCAGAATATACCAATCTGAAGAAAGAATTTCAGAACTTGAAGACTGGTTCTGTGAAATAAGACAGTCAGACAAAAATAAAGAAAAAATAATAAAAAGGAGTGAACAAAACCCCTGAGAAGTATGGGATTATGAAAAGAGGTTAAATCTATAAATCATTGGAATCCCTGAAAGGGAGAGCCAGAAAGCCAACAACTTGGAAAGTATATTTCAGAATATCGTTCACGAACTCTTTCCCAACCTTGCTAGAGAGGCCAACAGACATATTCAGGAAATACAGAGAACTCATGCAAGATTCTACACAAGATCATCTCCAAGATACATAATCATCAGATTTTCCAAGATGGAAATAAAAGAAAGAATGTTAAAGGCAGCCAGAGAGAAAGGGCAGGTCACCTACAAAGGGATTTCCATCAGGCTAACAGCAGATCTGTCAGCTGAATTCTTACAAATCAGAAGAGATTGGAGGCCTACATTCAACACTCTTAAAGAAAAAAATCTTCAACCAAGAATTTCATATCCAACCAAATTAAGCTTTTTAAGTGAAGGAAAAGGAAGATTTTTTTCAGATAAGCAAATGTTGAGGGACTGTATTACCACCAGATCTGCCTTACAAGAGATCTTGAAAGGGGCACTTAGTATAGAAAAGAAAGACCACTACCAGCTAATAAAAAAAAATCCTTAAACACAGAGACCAGTGTCACTTTAAAGCAACCACACAAACAAGCAAACATAATAACAAGCTAACAGCACAATGACAGGATCAAATCCACACCTATCAATATTAATCTTGAATGTAAATGGGCTAAATGACAGTTAAACAGCACAGAGTGGCAAGCAGGATTCCCACTACTGGGTATCTACCCAGGGGAAAAAAAGTCATTATACAAGAAAGATACTTGCACATGCATGTTTATAGCAGCACAATTCGGAATGCAAAATCATTGAACCAGCCCAAATGCCCATCAGTCAACGAGTGGATAAAGAAACTGATATAGATATAGATATAGGTAGATATAGATAGATAGATATAGATATAGATAGATACCAAATATATAATCCTATATATATGTATATATGTAATGGAATACTACTCAGCGATACAAAGAAATGAATTAACAGCATTTGCACTGACCTGGATGAGACTGGAGACTATTATTCTAAGTGAAGCAACTCAGGAATGGAAAATCAAACATTGTATATTCTCACTGATATGTGGGAGCTAAGATATGAGAATGCAAAGGCATAAGAATGATACAGTGGACTTTGGCGACTTGAGGGGAAGTGTGGGAGGGGGACAAGGATGAAAGACTACAAATAGGGTGCGGTGTATACTGTTAGGGTGATGAGTGCATCAAAATTTCACAAATCAGCACCAAAGAACTTGCTCATATAACCAACCACCACATGATCTCCAATAACATTTGGAAAAAAAGTTAAAAAATAACATACTGGTGAGGTTGTGAAGAAAAGAAAACCCTTACACACTGTTGATGGGGGTGTAAATTAGTTCAACCATTTTGGAAAGCAGTATGGTGATTTCTGAAAGAGCTCAAAGCAGAACTACTATTCGACCTAGCAATCCTATTACTGGATATATACCCAGAGAAACATGAAGCGTTCTACCATAAAGCTGCATGCATTTGAATATTCATTGCAGCATTGTTCACAATAGCAAAGACATGGAATCAACCTAAATGGCCATCAATGACAGACTGGATTAAAAAAAGTGGTATATATACACCATTGAATATTATGCAGCCCATAAGAAAGAATGAGATTGTGTCTTTTGTGGGAACATGGATGCAGCTGGAGGCTATCATCCTTATCAAACGAATGCAGAGACAGACAATCAAATAACACATGTTCTCACTTATAACTGGGAGCTAAATGATAAGAGCTTATGAACACAAAGAAGGAAATAACAGATACTGTGGTCTACTTGATGGAGGAAGGTGGGAAGAGGGAAAGTAGCAGAAAAGATAACTATTGGGTACTGAGCTTAACACCTGTAATAATATGTACAACAAACTCCCATGACACATGTTTATCTATGTAACAAAGCTTCGCATGTACCCCCAAACCTAAAATCAAATTTTGTATATCTATATGTTGCTAGGCACCTTTTGTTCTTATTTCCAATTTAATTATTTACAATGCACATTTTGAAGTGGCAGAAATTAGTAAATTTCCAGCAAACTATATGACCAGAGATATTAAATATATAAAATAATTATCCCTAAATTTATCCCTAAGTAAAATAGTTATACTCGTATTGTTACCATTCAAATATCACAATTTGTGATCAATAGGTGCACATGTGTGTTTGATAAAATATTTTTCTGCTATACATTTCTTGGCTCTCTATTAGAGAAAAAGCAGGGAAAAGTAAATGCTTTAAGGTATAAAACTTGTTTAGTGCAATCTTTGGGGTTTTTTTTTTTTTATTTGTCATGCTACTTTGGCTGCTATAATAAAATAATCCAGATTTAGTCATAGTAGCTGAGAATGTAAATAAGTATTTGAAAGAATTTCGCTTGCTAATGATGCTATTGATATATGTAATAAAGTTTATGTACTGTATAAATGCAGAGTCTTTGTACATGTTCAAATGAAAATTAAAAAAGAAAGAAAGAAACCAAACAGAGTACTATTTGTTGGAGGTCATGTTTGGCTTGATTTTTAGAATTTAAAAATCCCTTCAAAAATCAAAGAATCCAGTACCAACCCCAAAAAGTCCAGGACCAGACGGATTCACAGTCGAATTCTACCAGAGGTACAAAAAGGAACTGGTACCATTCCTTCTGAAACTATTCCAAACAATAGAAAAAGAGGAAATCCTTCCTAACTCATTTTATGAGGCCAGCATCATCCTGATACCCAAACGTGGCAGAGACACAATAAAAAAAGAGAATTTCAGGCCAATATCCTTGATGAACATCATTTCAAAAATCCTCAATACAATCCTGGGAAACAACTCTTTTTCCAGCTGGAACCATGGAGGGTGTAGAAGAGAAGAAGAAGAAAGTTCCTGCTGTGCCAGAAACCCTTAAGAAAAAGCGAAGGAATTTCGCAGAGCTGAAGGTCAAGCACCTGAGAAAGAGGTTTGCCCAAAAGACACTTTGAAAGGCAAGGAGGAAGCTTATCTATGAAAAAGTGAAGCACTATCACAAGGAATATAGGCGGATGTACAGACCTGAAATTCGAATGGCGAGGATGGCAAGAAAAGCTGGCAACTTCTATGTACCTGCAGAACCCAAATTGGCATTTGTCATCAGGATCAGAGGTATCATTGGCATGAGCCCAAAGGTCCGAAGGGTATTGCAGCTTCTTCACAATCTTCAATGGAACCTTTGTGAAGCTCAACAAGGCTTCGATTAACATGCTGAGGATTGTAGAGCCACATACTGCATGGGGGTACCCCAATCTGAAGTCAGTAAATGAACAAAACTACAAGCGTGGTTATGGCGAAATCAATAAGAAGCGAATTGCTTTGACAGATAACGCTTTGATTGCTCGATATCTTGGTAAATATGGCATCATCTGCATGGAGGATCTGATTCATGAGATCTATACTGTTGGAAAATGCTTCAAAGAGGCAAATAACTTCCTGTGGCCCTTCAAATTACGTTCTCCATGAGGTGGAATGAAGAAAAAGACCACCCATTTTGTAGAAGGTGGAGATGCTGGTAACAGGGAGGACCAGATCAACAGGCTTATTAGGAGAATGAACTAAGGTGTCTACCATGATTATTTTTCTAAGTTGGTCAGTTAATAAATAGTACCTGCTCTCAAAAAAACAAAAACAAAAACAAAAACAAAACAAAACTGGGAAACCGAATCTAGCAGGACATCAAAAAGCTTATCCACCACGATCAAGTCGACTTCATACCTGGGATGCAAGGCTGGTTCAATATACACAGATCAATAAACGTAATCCATCACATAAACAGAACCAATGACAAAAACCGCATGTTTATCTCAATAGATGCAGAAAAGGCCTTCGACAACATTCAACACCCTTCATGCTAAAAACTCTCAATAAACTAGGTATCGACGGAATGTATCTCAAGATAGTAAGAGCTATTTACGAAAAACCCACAGCCAATATCGTAGTGAATGGGCAAAACCTGGAAGCATTTCCTTTGAAAACCGGTACAAGACAAGTATGCCCTCTCTCAGCACTCTTATTCAACATAGTAATGGAAGTTCTGGCCAGGGCAATCAGGCAAGAGAAATAAATAAAGGGTATTCAAATAGAAAGAGAGGAGGTCAAATTGTCTCTATTTGCAGATGACATGATTGTATATTTAGAAAACCCTGTCATCTCAGCCATCTCCTGGTCATTAGAGAAATGCACATCAAAACAACAATGAGATATCATCTCACGCCAGCTAGAATGGTGACCATTAAAAAGTCAGGAAACAACAGATGCTGGAGAGGATGTGGAGAAATAGGGACACTTCTACACTGTTGGTGGGGTATGAATTAGTTCAACCATTGCGGAAGACAGTGTGGGGATTCCTCAAGGATCTAGAACTAGAAATACCATTTGACCCAGTAATGAGATTACTGGGTACATACCCCAAGGTTTATAAATCATTCTGCTATGAAGACACATGCACACATATGTTTATTGCGGCACTATTCACAACAGCAAAGACTTGGAACCAACCCATATGTCCATCAATAATAGACTGGATAAAGAAAATGTGGCACATATACACTGTGGAATACTATGCAGCCATAAAAAAGGATGAGTTTATATCCTTTGCAGAGACATGTATGAAGCTGGAAACCATCATTCTCAGCAAATTATCACAAGAACAGAAAACCAAATACTGCATGTTCTTACTCATAAGTGGGAGTTGAACAATGGAAACACGTGGACACAGAGAGGGGAACATTACACACTGGGGCCTGTTGGGGGATCCGTGGCTAGGGTATGGGGAGCATTAGGAGAAATACGTAACGTACGTGACAGGTTGATGGGTACAGCAAACCACCATGGCATGTGTATACCTATGTAAGAAAGCTGCACGTTCTGCACATGTACCCCAGAAGTTAAAATATAATAAAAAAAGTTTTAAGAATTAATTAGGAGAAATATTCCATAAAAATGGTTAATTATGCTGCTCATCATATACCTAGGAAAAAATCCACCATTGATATGCATTCACATACAACTCTAAGAGAGCTGAAGTAGGAACTTTATTTTAGCTACAACCTGTGGAAATAAGAGAATGTTTTACCTGCAGTACCAAGATCTTTCCAAAGGTTTTCTACTAGTTTTATTACCTACCTCACATGTCAAAACTTTGCCATTCTTCATCTGTTCTTCTTTTGGTTCCTGAATTTCTGACACAACAAGAGTGGATGTATTTCCCACACTCTTGGTTTAGCAGAGTACCTATATTAGTTAATTAGTTGATATTTTTGTTTGTTTGTTTTGCTAGAGGAACTCCTCCAAAACTACATTGGATATTGATATCTCACATGTCTTTTGGGTTCAGTTTTTCTAAGCTGGGTTTGGTAGATGGCTCTGGTGGTTTGATGGGCCAAGTTCTGCATCTTGGAGCTAAAGTTTCGCCAGTTTAGGCCAGATCAGGCAGGGGCAATCTGACTCCGTTAGTTTCTTTTCTCCTTCTGGGACCAGTGTAGTAGCCAGGTGATGTTCTCTTGATAAACGGAAAACAGCAAGGTAACCCGATGTAGAAACCATCTCAAATCCCCGTGTAAATTCTACCAATATTCTGTTCATTAAAATAAATTATGTGAGTGAACTGAGAATCCAGGGGTAAGATAGTTACCTTGCCTGTGGTGGGAGGATACTGTAAGACTAAATATCAAAGGGTGTGATACTCAGGAACATTTACAAAATTGATAAATATTTTAATGAAGTAATAAATACTTAAACATCAGATAGACTTGAGAGTAACTTTACTAAGGACCGAAGCATGAAAGATATGTTTGATACATATTTTCGTATGGGGTGAAAATGCTGAGTGGGAAAATAGGACTAACTTCACCAGGATGACCTCCTGGAAACTCATTTTCCAAGAAAATAACTCCTTCCATCCCTGAGGGGTGTAAGATTGTGTGTTTGTGTGTGTATGTGTGCATGTGCGTGTGTACATGTGTGTGTCTTTGTGTGTTTATGAGCTTGGTAACAATAAATTCATCCAAAAGTATTGGTTAGTAGCAACCAGATTTTAAGGTAGATTGACCTTCCTGTATTTCTCAAGAAACCTTTGGATAATTTTGATTTAAAAAAGTTTGGATTCTATGTATTTAAATTTTGTATAAAAGTCAATCCATTATTGGTGATGATCCTATTTATGAGTAAGCTCTTTTAACAATTTAGACATTTGCAGTATGAACTATGTACTGGGTGGTAAAATTTCCCTATTAACAACTGAAGCTGCTGAACACAAATTATGTATTGTTAAACAAGCAAAACATCGCAAAACAGTGAAAGAAGATATGTCTTTATTTGCATGCTGGCAAATGAATATTTAGGTTTCACTTCAACTTTAGTACAAATAATTCCATCCTGTTACAAGAACAGACGTGGAATGAATAAGCTAATTTAAGCTGTTTTGAAAATAAGAATTTTTCCATAAAGACAGTATCAAATTCATCCATTAGCATAAGCTAGTGCTTTTTTCTTTGACATTGGTCACAGTGTTTAAAAGTAAAACGAATATTGTTGGGCGCGGTGGCTCACGCCCCTAATCCCAGCACTTTGGGAGGCCGAGGCGAGCGGATCACGAGGTCAGGAGATTGAGACCATCCTGGCTAACACGGTGAAACCCTGTCATTATGAAAAATACAAAAAATTAGCCGGGCGTGGTGGTGGGTGCCTGTAGTCCCAGCTACTCGGGAGGCTGAGGCAGGAGAACGGCGTGAACCCGGGAGGCGGAGCTTGCAGTGAGCTGAGATCGCGCCACTGCACTCTAGCCTGGGCGACAGAGCGAGACTCCGTCTCAAAAAATAAAAAATAAAAATAAAAATAAACAAATAAAAAGAATGTTATGGCACATTCAGAAATCAGGTGTATACAACTTTTAAGGTCAAGCTGTTGAAGAAATCACAACCGGTTATATTAAGCTTGTATTTTTTTCTTTCTTTTTTTTCCATTCAGATATGATAACTTTTCTACACATTGTTGTTTCAATTACTGTAGTGGTCCTATTTGTTATTGGAAATTTTGCCAATGGGTTCATAGTATTGATACATTTTATTGGCTGGGCCAAGTGACAAAAGACCCCTCAGCTGATCAAATTCTCACTGTTTTGTCAGTCTCCAGAGTTGGTTTCCTCTGGACAGTATTGTTATATTGGTATTCAACAGTGTTTAATCCAGCTTCATAGAGTTTAGAATTAAGAATTACTGTTTATAATGTCTGGACAGTAATCAACCATTTCAGCATCTGGCTTGCTAGTAGCCTCAGCATTTTTTATTTGCTCAAGATTGCCAATTTCTCCAACTTTGTTTTTCTTCACCTAAAAAGAGACTTAAGAGTGTCATTCCAGTGATAATGCTGGGGCCTTTGCTATTGTTGGTTTGTCATCTTGTGTTGGTAAACATGTATATGAATGTGTGGATAAAAGAATATGAAGGAAAAGTGACTTGGAAGATCAAATCGAGGGACACGATACATCTTTCAAACTTGACTATATCCACGCTTGCAAACTTAATACCTTTTACCATGTCCCTGACATATTTTCTGCTGTTAATGTCTTCTCTGAGTAAACATCTCAAGAAGATGCAGCTTCATGGCAAAGGAGCTCAAGATCCCAGCACCAAGGTCCACATAAAAGCTTTGCAAACCGTGTTTGCACAGTTTGCAGACTGTGTTTGCAAAGCTTTTATGTGCAGTTTCCTCTGTTCCTAATCATTTCGCTTTGGAAACCTAGGAGGCTGCACGATAAACCTGTCGTCATGCTCTGCCATGCTATTGGAATCATACATCCTTCATTCCACTATTCATCCTAATTTGGAGAAGTAAGAAGCTAAAAAAGTCCTTTCCTTCTTTGTTATTATTATTTTTTATTTTGGTCAGATTATGTGCTGAGTGAAAGAATGGAAACTCTCAACTTCCTGGATTCACCTTTGGGAAATCCTGTGTTTTCTAGGAGAAAACAAACTGATGGTGTCTGGGACATTTTATACATTTTACTCGTTTTTCCGTAGAGTATGTGTTTGAGTAATTTCCAAAGACCTAGAAAAGCCTTTTGCCTAAAGTTATCATAAAAGGTATGTATGTATGTATGTGCGTGTATATGTGTATAAAACACTTAAGAAACAGGTACGATAACATAATGTTAATCAAATTTTTTCCAAACTGCCAAATTACACAAAATATGGTAATAAGTTCCTCAGAATTATGAAATCATGTGTATTTCACATATGTATTTCATGTCATCATGTTTTATTTGAAAAATTTATGATCTTGATTTATAGTTTTTAAGAACTGACAGCTTATCTCAGGAAATCATTGCCCCTTTCCATTGTGATTTGTACCATACATATGTACCACAGTGTGCTTGAATGTCATTGAACATCTAATTTTTGGATAATAAGGGCATACAGTTCTAAATCAATAATGAGGTTTTATCTTTGGAGTAGTTTTTATTTAATCATGAATTATAATTTTATGTTTAGTTTAAGGTGAACAGAATTATTGTTAGAAAACAATTCACACCATAAAATTCAAGGGTGACATCTATTTAGAATACATTTTATGTATGTCTAATATAAACAATACTGAGGAAAATGAAATTAGATATGAGTATGA